ATTAAAATAACATATTTTAAAAAATAAATTTATTTTAATTTTTTAATACTTTAATAAAACAATATAATTTTAAAATATATCTTTTTAATTTTTTGGTTATATGATTGATCAACACCAATATCTCTTATAATTTATACAAATTATAAATTAAATGTAATTTACAAATTGAACGTAATCTATAGTGAGTATACGTCAATACCACGAGGTGACAGTGAAAAACGTTGCAAGCACGCTAGCTACTATGATTGGAATGGTATGGAGAATACATATCAACATGAGTAACAGTGACAAGGTTCTGTTTTATACGAGTCCAAGCTCCACGAATTAATGCCCCTGAAATTAAGGTGTGAAGTGTGGACCAATAAATCATGAGGGCACTTTCCTGGAAAAGAGGGTGACTTTCCAGGAAACTACCATCCTCCCTTCCTCTCTCTCTTTATCATCATCACTTTCATCATCCTCATCATCATTACAAGAACCCTTCAACTCCTCTCCTCCCCCTTTGAACTTCCAATATTAAAATAATTTTCCAATTGACGTTTGCCAAAGTTTTTGAGTAACAAGTATGAACCCAATTTCCGTCTTCCCTTTTTTTCAAAAAAGAGTTGTTTATTGTCCTGTGGTGGGATAAAAGCGACAAGCTTTGTTTAAGGAAATTAATATTAATTAAACTGGAATTTGTGGGGAAACATCATGTTCTAATGTGAAATTAGAGATAAAAGTCGCTTTTGATTATATTTCGTATTGATTGTGGATTTGATCTTACGTGTGCGCCCACGTAACTCACAATTTAATTCCATCGAAGGCCATGCGTCTTGTCCGGGATAATTTGTCAGTCCATGAAGAGTCATCCGTCATTTTTATTTAAATAATAATCAATAAGATTAAATTTTAATATTAATAATATAGTATAAATTATATTATTTAAAATATTAAAAAATAAAATTTTTATTATTTAATAATTAATTCATTTATTTTTTAAAACCAGTAATATCATATATGTTAATTATTTTAATATCATGATATAAGTTAATATTTATCTTTCTTATCATTACTCATTATTTTATTTTATTTTTTTGTTTTGTTAATTTATTTAAAAGTTGCAAGCAACTTAGTTCGCTTTTTTTATTTTTAATGTTAATTCTCATAATATATGATGATTAATTCAATTAGGCCAAATGGTTGGATTTGGATGATGAGTGCCAAAAATAATGATGGGGGAATTTGCTTGGACTATTCAACAATAAATAACTATAAACCGTTTAGGCTGCTGGTTGGGTTGGTGTTTGCTTAAATACCACTATATGACATTATTGTGCATATGTATCAAGTTGTGATATTTCTATGATATACTAAAATTTTTTTATATTGATATTTAAATAATTGGGTGTTATTTTTTATTATATAACTTAGACAATGGTTTAATCATTTTATGTATCTTAAAAATTGCAAGCTTGGGTGTTGATAATTGAGGTGGAATTGGACTGCTTCTAAATGGGGAAGGCAATTAAAGAGTGCGATGAAAGAAAAATAATTGAGGACAAAATGACTGAGTGCCAAACCTAGTTATGAGTTTATGAAAAAGATGGCACAAAATAAAATAAAGTGAGATAGGGTAGGGGGAAGGGAGGGGGTCCTTCCTGCTCGATCCAACAACAATGCCCCAAGAGGGAGATGAATTATAGCACAAGATATCAAGGACATGTGGTCTTGTAGGCTTTCCTCAGAACATTGAGAAGTTGCTTTCAAAGCGAACAATTAGCTTCATCTAACCATAGCAGTTTAATAGTACCGATTTCTGTCGGCAAACATGTCTTCCTCAATGATTGATGTAGTAAAATTAATTAAGGATGTTATTTAATATATTTTTTCAAAAAAAAAACAAAAAAACAAAAAAACAAAACAAAAAGTTGGAGAAGTTGAAAGTTCAAATATGCAAGTCATAGTTTCATATTCAATTTGCTTATAAGGTGTTAGGTCTGTCTAGTGGAAAAAACTAAGGGTTGAAATGGTAAGTTTTAATCTCAATCACCTTATTACACTATAAGAAAATTCGTATTTAGTGATTAAATTATTGATCATTAAATTTTTATTTTTCGTCACAAATTATTATTAATGATAAAATTTAAACTGTTAATAAAATTTTTGTCACTAATGTTCTTAGTGATAAATTAGACACTTATCAAAGAAAATAATCTTATAGTGATTAAAAAAAATTGATATTGTTAACAAATTATTTATAACAATTTTATTTGTTACAAAAAAATATTTTTTGTTACAATAATTTTCATCACAAATGTTACAATTGAGTGACAAAAAAAAGTCACAAATGCAATTTTGATGAAAAATATAGTAATTAATTATTAAAATTGATATTAAATAAAAAAGATATTTATATAATTATAACACAAATATTGTAACAAAAATTGTCACAAAAAA